TTTTTAGGTAATTTTTCAGTCTTTCATTTGCTGTAATTTCATGCTCGTCTCTTCTGATAGACATGGGAGCTGTATATTCTAAGGGCGTAGAAGGCACTCTTTATTCAAGTGTCAAAAGCTTTTTTTTTTTATATATTTAACTGGATGAAAACACTTTAAAAACTCATTTTAAACATTTTTAATATCTGTCTGTAATCTGTCTAAAAGTCTTTTGGTGCATGTTATGATGCCTACTGCAGTTTAGAGAATAGAGTCTGAGCTCCAAAAGCTCCCTCACCATACCTTTCTTCACATCTCTGTCTTTCTCTGTGTCCATTCTGGACTAGAAAAATGTGTGCTGTCAGTCGTTCCTGGTTGGAGGCTCAGCTCTGGTGCTTGGGAGAGATCAGAAGGGACGATTTGTGGTGGCTTGTCTCTCCCAACTCTATACCAAAAACCAAAACAGATGTACTTCTAACACTTACAAAATCTCATTTATCTTTTCAAGTGGCTCTCAGAAATGCATCTTGCTACTTGAGATTTGATTTTCTTTCTGCCTGCCATTCATCTTCCTCACTTATTTTTCTTTTGGGGTATATAAGTGTGGCTTATCGTGGTCAACTTAAAATCTTAAAACCTATTTAAGAACTGTTTTCAACATTGATAATAATAAGAAATCTTTCTTGAGAACCAAATCAGCATATTTAAATGTTTTCTGAAGGATTGCTGCTGAAAATTCAGCTTTACAATAACAGGAATAAATAACAGAACATTTTAAAATACATTAAAATAGAAAACAGTTATTTTAAATTATAATATTTTGCAATATTACTGTTGCACTGCACTTTTTGAGCAAATAAATGCAGCCTCAGTGAGTATAAGAGACTTCTTTCAAAAACATTAAAAATCATAATTATAATAATGTTAAATAATGCAGCTTATGGTAACAATAGATATTGATTAATGAAGCATTGCCATTGAGATACATCAAGATGCATTTAACTGTCCTCGAACTTGACTTTTAGTCTTTATAGATAGAGGCTCAAACAAATATGATTGATTTCTGGGACAGAATGTTCATCATCTCCACATCGCCTATTTAGCACTTTGCTGATCAATTCCCAATGTATAAATCCAGTTTGGCATACATTTCCCCCCATTTTTAAAATTTTTTTTTTTATATATTCCATTTCCTGCAAAATATGGCCCATTAAAATATGTGATATAAAATGTCTAGTAGCAGCTGCTCTAAGTCTCCAGTCTGCTTTATCCCGTCAGCCACCTAATTATCAGAAACATAACTATCAGAGCACGTAAGGATGGGAAAAAGAAAGGGAGATAAAGGAGGAGGATGTTATTCTCGTCTTAGCAAATTTCTCATTGAAACTCCACACACGCTTTCTATTTCTCCATGCTTGCGGTCCTGTGACATTATCGGTGGCTGCAACATATAACAGAAAAGCTATAGCTTATTTTTGCCTTCGATTAAATCTCATATCTCTCATAAAGCAATTTTCTCATAAAACACAGATAATACATGACCGGGAAAGTCACCAGCAGAGAGGATGGTCTGTGCATTATGGATGCGTTGCCACCGCTTGGCCTTCTCTCTCTGAGGAATAGAATTAAACTCGTGTCCCATAGCTCATTGTGGTTCAGAGACAGAAAACGCATTGGTATGAATAAAGAGGGTGTTTGTGATCCAATCAAAGCAGTACATCACCTTGACAAGGGCACTAGTCGGGTCCCTAAACCCACATGCACAAAGACAATGGCGCACACTCATATACACGCCAAATATCTGATAAAAACTGAATAAAATGAAACCACTGATATTATGATCACAGCGCCGGTTGTCCTGGGAACCAGACGTGAAGCCTATCTGGAAGTGGTCTACATTATAAACATTTCCCACCTTCAAGGTTGTACGTTTGGATTTCGAATACAGCCATTCATGTTCCTGAAGAGCATTTCAATCTCTTTTTATGCTCATTTGGGAGGTATTTCTTTGTAGTATTAAATTTATTCAGCCGATAGACCTTGACCTGGCTTAAATGAGGACTATTTCCTCTGATCTGAACTCAATAATTGATGCAGGCAGTTGTGTTTCTGTGAATTGAGAGTTGGAAACAATCCATTCCAAACAGAAAAGGAAAAACATCCCGCTTCAGAGAGGTAGAACTTTTTAACATTCTCTTCAGGGAAACCCGACAGGTCTGAGATAATGCTCATCGTGGCTCGTTCCTCCAAAGCACCGGTCTCATTTTCTGCTCCCTGAGGTGCCTTTTGCTGATAGAGATCTTCAGTGCTGTCTGCCTTGATATACTCACCGTGGGACAATGAGACCGCCATTTTAAACAGCCTTTGATCAGATAAAAACATTCAGGAGGTATACATTTGGTTTTCCTCTTGTTTTCCCTGCATTTTTGGCTCGCTGCTTCTATTTATATGGCACTTCATTTGGCATGGAAAATACGGGTTTATTTTAGTTGCAGGGGGAATTTCTGTCTTCATAGCAGGCTGATATGTGGGAGAGACGGCCTTCTGTGCAACACTGTTAATCTCACCAAGGAGAGATACACAGGTAGAGGTGGAGACTCTTCCATCCTCCAAAAATGTAAAGCACACCTCAGGGGATCTGAGGAGGCCATTCATCATGTAGACGCCGAACAAATAATTCAGTATGTGAAATGTTCATCATTATTTGTATAACTGCCGCGCTCATTTTTTAGGCTTGAAGCCACCTTCAGCCCCTTTAAAGGTAACAAAAGGCTTTGTAAGTGTTGTAAGCGTGTATTCTAAGTGTAGCATCACTGTTACTATTACTCATACTTCAGGTGGATTTGAACAAGCCCCTTATGTATTCATGTCCTGTACAGACATGAATAACGCTGAAATCTCTTGGGTTATTCAGAAGTATACAGTTACTAAGTTTTGGTGAATGATAAAACCGGCAACAAATAAATAAATAAATAAACTCCTATAGATCTGTATTTAAGCAGGTCCTCAAGCAGTATCTAAGAACCAGAATATCATTAGGATGAGCTTGTTTTGCATATCAGAATTGTGGAAGCATGTTTTGCACGGGCAGCACAGTTTTTTTTTTTTTTTTAATATCAAAGTCATTACTTTAGCATTATTTATATATTATTATAAAATGTATTCATATTTTGAATTTTTTAAAAATGTTTCCCCATTTTAATCTTAGTTTTAGTAATTGTATGTGCTTTTGCATTTTCATTCATTAATTTTATTTTATTTTATTTCTTTTTTCTTTTTTATTTAATTTTATTTGTTTATTTTAGTAATTTTAGTAGTTTTAGTAAAAAAAAACAAAAAAAAAACACTTGTCCCTTTTAGACTTGAACTCTATTCATTTGCTGCTTGTTTTCGAAAAAAAAAAAATCTAACACTTGCTTTCTAATCTTTTTGTATTCTATCCGTTTTCTTTTCATTTATTATACAATTAACAAAAGCAAAAAAGAACTTGAACACTAGCTTGCTCTATTCGTTTTCTATTCTATGTTTTCATTAAAAAACCCTTGCTACGTGTACCGCGTTAAGCTAATTGAGACTTGTTATAGCACTTGTATATCATTGGTCTTTTATTGATTTTGATTGCTTCCATTGTTCTCAATCTGTAAGTCGCTTTGGATAAAAGCGTCTGCTAACTGACTAAATGTAAATTTAAATTAAATTTGTTTTGTTTCAGTTAGTTGCCAAGGCAACATTTCTAATTTTTGTTTGTTTTCTTTTTCATCTAATATTTAAGTTTTATTTTACTGCAGCTTTATTTCAATTAATGGAAACTAATTTTAATAGTTTTAGTTCTCAGTAACAATACTGGTCAATGCCTGGTTATTTTTTTTACAGGTAAATGAGAAATGTATGTGCAATATTTAAACTTTTGTAAATGACAAAATATTGTAGAGGATTTTTTGTTGTATAACTGCATGCAACATGTCGAATTGTCTCTTCTAATTTTTTGAGGTACAGACATGACAGACATGATATTTTCAATAATGTGAGTTTTGTGGAGAAGTGTACTATTACTTTCTAAGATATGTTTACTTGGCAGATGATAAAACAAGCTAAAAAGTCCCATAGATTTTGTTTATACAATGACATTGAATGTCCAATGGAAGTTGCTTTTGTGTTCCACTGAAGAAAGTAAGTCATACATACAGGTAAATGACAGAATTTCAGTTTTAACTGAAGTTTCTCTTTGAATAAAAACTTCTGTAAGTGCAATAGTCAAACAGAGTCAATAAGGACAAAATATTGCTCTTATTTTGCCCTGTGATTGCATGTAGCATGTTACACTGACTTCTATCTTTCTTCTGATTGCTTGGGCTCCCAGGTTGGCAGTTTGAGTAAGTGCAGGTCGGCACGAGTTAATCAGTTCGGCTTGGCCTGCAGGTTATCACTCTAATCGTGAATTAAAGAGAGGCTAATGACGCAGTGCTGGCGGGTTCCTGATCCCTGCTTTTTTTTTTAAACCATCCCCAGAGATGCTGAAGACTAATTGTAATTTTCTTAGCACAGTTTTCTGAGCATTTGTTTTAGCACAGGTACAGAGGTGAAGGATTGTGTTTGTTCAAGAGCCCACACTGAAGATGCCAGACGAAATTGCCTTATATCCCCTAGGTCAAGTTGTTTCTGAGAATTCTTGCAACATTTTTACTTAGAAATTGTTCGGCATTATATATAAGCCACGTCTTTTGTGCTGTTCCGTAACCTTAGTTCGAAAAACGGCAACAGGGTGACTTGTCTAGTCCCAGCTTTTATATATATATCCACCCTGCACTGTCTATGGGGGTAAATTAGAGCTTTTTAATAGCCTTTTAACTGAATTACACACTGCAGACGGACAACTGGCTAACTCACTTAGCTCCCAACTCTGAGTTTTTATTTCAGTACAAAGCATGACAGTCCATATGGCTACCTGCTTCTAACCAACAATCCCTCTCTCTTTCTCTCTCTCTTTTATTGCATGCCCTGCTGTCTGCTTGCTGGAACAGAAGCCAAAGGTCAGTTTGCTTTTTGCTTGCTCTTTCCATTTCTCTCTCTTTTCATTGTTTTTTTCTGCTCTGTATTTTAACACACAACACCTGTCCAATGAGTCATTCACTGACGTTTCCTCATTTGCCATTTGAAGTGCACTCATTTCTCACATCTTACCCACAGGCCAGCCGTGTACCAGCCATTATGGTGGGGCCTCTGACTAACTTCATTAGCTTGTGTTTAAATGTCAAAGGCTCTTTTTTTTCCAAGCACATCAATTTAAGAGCTCACATCATTGTCATTATGTTTACACTCGCAACCTTTTTCCCAGGTCAGCAGGGGTCTTGATGGATGCGCCTCTGTGTCCATGCTCATTTGTGTGAGTGTGAGAGAGATTAGAGTAGACAGATATTTCACACTTTCAGAGTTATAGTTAAATTCAACGATAGATCCATCTCACCTTTCATGGCAGATGCTTTCCCACCGGTCATTCGGTCCACAGACCCGAACACAGCTGCATCCGTCCTCGTCTTCTCCTTGTACCTGCGGATGCCTGTTTTCTCCCTCATTTCCTGTCAGTACTGTGATGAGTGTTTATGACCAGAGTGAATCGGCAGCCGCTCTGGTGTTGTGCCAGCTCTCTCCAGCTGTGGGCACACAAGTCATTTAAATGTCAAACTGGCCCCATCATGGCACAACCACCATGTCCTTTCTGTCAGCACTGGGTTTACAAGGGGCTGTGTGTGTTTGGCACCTTTCATTCCTCCTGCTAAGTTCCTGTTTATGATTTTTTTAAATAGGATTTTGCACCATGCCATTTTTCTTTCTTTTTTTAGTGCTAGTTGGACACAATGTAGAGTAAGTTTGTGCAATAAGTGTGCGTTTGGTACTTTATATTTGTATCTTATCATTATGCTACCACAGTGAATAATGGGATATGTTCACTACCGTTCAAAAGTTTGGTGGCCGTTTTTAGAGCCCAGGAACTCAAAGGACTTTCATTTTATTTATGAAAATGTATTTCTGGATTAAGTCATTATTATTTAAAAAATGTATTTAGATACTGTATTAAAGGCAAGGTAGGTGATTTGGTTCAAAAACATTTTTTTTGTTATGCTGGTTGAAAGTCACTTCACATCCCGAAAGCGATCAGTAAGTTAAGTGGTCTAAATGTATTTATATGTATTTATCATCTGTGGAAGGCATAGGACCATAAAATGTTTGACCAGTCAGATTATTCGTTCCGAGGACTATGATAGGCTGTCCTACCTGCCTGTCAACATGTATATTTGCATACCTCTGTGCACCCCGTTCATGCAGACATGATACGTCATCAGTGCGTTCCATTACGCTATTCCAGATCAAGCGAGAATGGAAGGTGTTATTAATGTAATATTATGTGCTTTGTTCTGTAATGCTTTCTCACCAATGAATGAGACATGAGTTAATCTGACAGCATTGCATTCAACCCTCCACCAATGCAGTCTCTCATCGTGTCGCTGGTTAGCCTCTGGTCTGCCTGTGCGCGATCATGTGTTTTGGAGGAGGCGTGGCTTTGGAGACTGATTTTGCAGGGAGGGTGGAATCTTATGCTTTCCAAGCTAGCTTGCTATTGCTAACCCCTCCGAAATCACCTACCCTACCTTTAATGTAAAAATGTGCGATATAATAACACTATTAAATGGTTAAATAACAGTTTCAGTCTGTGAATAAGGCTGTGAGGGATATTAATACAGTGTGGTCAATGGATTGTAATGTTTGTTACAAAATGCCTTACTAAAATAATCTTACTAAAATCATTTTAGTAGACAAAAACTACATAAAATCTTGTGATCTAGGGCATTTATGCCATTATAAAAACTTTGCTTTTGTCCCTCAAAGCCTTATTTTCATCAGTGTAAAATTCAATATTGCATCCACCCTGTGACCCTGACTAAGGTCTATCGAAAAAGTTGTTTATATTACGCGCTGCAAAATCATTTATTTTCAGCGTTTGTTCATTTCGTAAACCATTTCTAATCCCTAGGCAGATATGGCTAGGAACTATACTCTATACTATACTATACTATACTATACTATACTATACTATAATATCATTGCGCCTGCTGCACCCATGGTACGGCAGCAAAGTTCCTTGATTATTACGCCAGAATGAGAGTATAGTTCCTAGCCATATCGGCCTAGAAAATCGCAACTTTTCATTTTCCGTCGGTCTTAGTACACGATGTAACTACAGAAGAGTCAAGTTTTAAATAGGAAAAATATCAAAACTCTCAAAAATGCTAATGGTCTAATCCGATTCAATTATCTATGCTAAGCTGCAGCTAAAAGTGCTATGCCAGACCCGGAGATCAGCTGAATGGATTAGAAAACAGTAAAACTCAACTGTTTAACTCTAGGGGAGTTGGAAAATGAGCCTATTTTCAAAAATAGTGGAGTGTACATTTAACCCACTGGGGAAAATCAACCCATGGCAACAGTTTAAAAGCAGCCCAATTTCGTGGAAAAAAACA